AAGAACTCGCTTCCGGGTCGGGTGCAAGCGCCGCCCCCTGCGGTGGTCATCGATGGGAACTTGGAGTGGGAGGTCGAAGAGATCTTAGACTCCAAGTTCGTGCGCGGAAAGCTGCACTATCTCATCGATTGGAAAGGCTACCCGGTCACCGATCGAAGTTGGGAGCCCGCCGACATTGTCTTTGCCCCAACGGTGGCCGCGGAGTACCACCGACGCTACCCAGACAAGCCTGGCCCCAGGAGAACTCAAGATGGAACACGCCGTAGTTTAAGGAGGAGATAGTGTGATGACCAGCATCACAACGGACCAATGAGATTGTCCCGCATGCTCTCGCCCTCCGCACCAATCATGAGTCCCCACGTGTTTGTTTGCCCCCATGCATGAGCACGCGCCGTTGCCACCCGCGTCTACTGGTTTCCTGCCTCCCCCACCGCTCGGCACATGTCCCCGGGCTGTGCCAAGCCTCTCTCGCTTGCACACCAGCCACTCTCGCACCCCCTTCTCGCTTCTCTGTGATGCTCCACCCTTCTCGCCCACTTTTGCCCCTCGACCTTCTCCCGGTCTATAAATAGCCCTGCATGTCTGAGCCTATGTTGAACACCAGTTCGAACAAAACTTGTTCTTTGGTGTTCGGGGCTAAAAGCTAATAAAGCTCATACCAAGCACTTGGTCTTCGTCCTTGCGCTTGTTCACTCCTTACAACCGACGACCAAGTTGGACCACGATGCAATCGCTGTCTTTGTCGACAGGTTCAGCAAGATGGCACACTTTGTGCCGTGCCAGACGACATGCTCCGCGCCTGACCTTGCACTGCTGTTCTTCAAGCATGTGTTCAAGCACCACGGCCTCCCAAAGTCCATCGTCAGTGATCGAGACCCCCGATTCACCTCCTTGTTTTGGACAAGTCTGTTCGACCATCTCGGCACCAAGCTGAACATGTCAACCTCGCACCACCAACAAACGGATGGACAGTCCGAGCGGACGATCCGCACCCTCGAGCAATACCTGAGGACATACGCCTCGACCAGCCAAGACGACTGGGACATACAGCTGAGTCATGCAGAGTTTGCATACAACACCGCCAAGTCGAGCACAACTGGCTTGAGCCCCTTTGAGGCGCTCTACGGATTCCAGCCTGATGTTCCCACCTCCTTGACACTGACCGAGTCCACGGCTGGATTGCCTCCCAAACCAAGTGCCTTTGTCAAAGATCATCAAGTCCGACACAAGATGATCGCCGACGCGCTCACGGATGCGCAACAAGTGATGGCGAAGTACTACGACCGCCGACACCAGGATGTCTCCTTTGAAGTTGGAGACCTTGTCTACCTGGACGCCGACAACATCAAGGTCCCCGAAGCCCAGTCAAAGAAGTTGTTGCCCAAGTACCGAGGACCGTTCAAGATAGCGGCCCGACCCAGTCCCCTCAACTACCTGTTGGACTTGCCACCTGGAAGCAAGCTCCATCCTGTCTTCCATGTGTCCAAGCTGCGTCGCCACACGACCCGCAGTCCAGCACAGTTCCCCGACGCCGACGAAGGTGTCCCGGACGACGCACCACTGGAAGACGACCTCGGACAATACTATACTCAAGAATATGAAGTCGAAAGGATCGTGAGGCACAAGAAAGTGGCTGATGGGTCACTTCGGTTTTATGTCAAGTGGGTTGGTTACCCACACTCGGGCAACACATGGCAAACACTGGAGGACTTGTCCCATGCACCCGAGGAGCTGAGTAAATACGGTAAACACCTCGAGGAGCCCCAAATAAAGAGCACACGCAGGGCTCCTCGCAGGAAGCCTTCTTAAGTGTGGGAGTGTAGGAGATGGTATCTCCGACGCTGTGCTGCGCGTACTGCGCGTACTGCGCGGCGCAGTGGGTCGTGACCTGTGCTGCGCTTTGCGTTTTCACGCACCGCAGGCAGGCCACCGCAGGGTATACCTGCGGGTTGCCCCCGTTCCCCCCGTTTGTCTGGAGTTCGGTTTTATCGTGAATAAACGTAAGTGCTCCCCGAGCTCACCCGTCCGCTAGAGTAGCCTAGCACCGCCCTGTTCTGCCCCGTCCTGTCTTGTCTTGTACCCCCTCCCTCCCCGTCTTGCCCCAACGTCCCAGTAGTGGACGTTACAGTCGCCACATGTTCGAGGCGTGTGAGCGCCGGAATGCTCGGGCGCGCGTGCGTTTCCGCGGCTGCCTCCACCGGCCGCCTCTGTCAAGAACTGGGGGCTTGGACTAGGGTCAGGGATCGAGGATAAAAACGAGGAGAGTGATCATCTTTATTGGGTGATTATTCACTTGGTGCTCCTCCTCGGCCAGCGAGCTATTTAGCTGGCAGAGGTGGAGCCCCTCCGATCAAACAAAGAACCTCGCCCATGGAGGCCTAGAATGGGGCGAGGGGTAATAATTGGCAGAGCCCCTGTGTGAGAAAGGGGTGGCAGGCCGAGATGTTGTGGTCCGGCTGGCCAAGGCAGTGCTCGGCTTGCCCGACATTGGCCAGCCGTCCAGCCAAAACAAAACTGACTTGCGAAGGTAGAGGAGAGACGACAGCGGAGCGCAGAGACGAGATGGCCGAGCGAGGAGGGATTCGTTACATCTCACAAGCCAACGCTTTCAACCTCCGCTAGCTACAACTCAAGCATAAACCCGAATTTGTTTCAGTTCTTCTAATCACAATTTTCTTCGGCGACTCCTCAAACCTCTCACTCTCAAATTCAACAGAAAAAAAAGAAACCGTATCCTTGGACATTACTGAGAAATTGAAACCGAACACCCCTCATGATTCGGAATTTGGTAGTATTCGTACCAATCAACTCGCCCATCGACGCTTTCATTTCCCCATAGCCATTCTGGTCAGCAGTAGCTACTGTCCGAATTACGTGGATGCACTTGGAGCTTTCAAGTGGGAAATTTGTAGAAAATACTACTGCTCACTCATCCCTGGAGCCACAATCGGATATCACCTAATATCAGAGGTAGAGGACAAAAATATCTCATCATCAGCGTAGAAAATCGCTCAGTCATATTTGCGCCAACGGAGCTTCACAAGAAGTCATCTACGAAGGGAGCAACGTCCCAGCATAGTGTCCCGAGGTCCTACACAAATAGCGAGTTTAGTATGCAGGCACTCGCTTAAAAGTTAGAACATAGCCAAAGATCTCCCGGAAGCAACGGAATAGCCTTTCTTAACGAGGATTATAAATGATCAAAATAGCATAGCCAAGGCATTTACCCTGCCAAGCAAGATTTGCTCCGAATATGGCGAGGAGTTCGAGTTTTCTTTGTGTATTATCTCTTTGGGTCACTTACTATCCATCAGGATCATAAGTCCGTTTGTATATCGCACTACTCATAAGAGAAAAATGCCGGAATTTCGATCATTGGGTTAACTTATATTCATTTACCACCTAGCAACAAACCACTCAATACCAAGATTTTAAACCCATATAATATATTCGAGCTAATTATAAATTAATAATAAAATAAATAATAATAAAAATAATAATGATAATAACCCCCCTGAAAAGCACTTAGAGTAGAATGGGAGGGGTGTAGAATATATGCTTTTCAAGATACTTAACCCAGTCACATATACATAATTGGTCCGGAGCGGGTTGATACGTCCAGATACAATATCGGGGTCGTAATCAGAGGAACTTAGGTTTGTCCCAAGGAATAAGAGCTAAATACCCGATTTCAGAAAATGAGTTAATGAGGTGGAGTACAGTAAATCTCATCCGCATGAGGAGTTCTGTTATGAACCGACACTGGCGGGAGCGTGTCACAGCGCATCCCATAACCGCGCGCATCGCCGTACGACATGTATCTATAAATCCCACGCTCACTCCACGACCGGCGAGTTCCCCTTGCTCATGATTATTCTTGCTCTGATAGTTGTAATAAATTTCCTTCAAGCATATTGGCATTTCCTCTCACCGCACCTTCTCAAACAGGTTCACCGCGTCAAGAGACTAACGGACCAAGATCGACGAGGACGACTACCCCGGATACAGGTCCAGAACAAAGTAAATATTTGCATTCAAACCAAAGGCTGGCGTAACGCTATCGAGTACGGATGAAGTTTTGGCGAATTCAATATCACTGCAACCATAACCACCATCAAGCGCACCAGGGACGTCGCCAAAGTATCTCGTCCATGATGACAGAAAGCATCTTAAAGATGATCAACACCATAAAACACCAATCAAAATATTTGAGCAGCATTAAAATCGAAACGTAACCGTACACCGCCTAAATAGATCATACCAAGAGGCTAGAATCATGCTTGAATACAGCTACAACCTTAGCTTTGCTACCATGCAAGAGACGTATTATATGCCACGAATTCTTAGAAAGAGTAGCAAGGCGATGGGGGAAATCCTGTATGCGTGGAAACAATATATTATCGTGTGTAGGATAATGAAGATGACTTCGGACAAGGAGAACTAATCGGGATAGGAGCATGTAGTATGGAATCACGAATCGGTGGCGGATGGTGGGTGGCGGGTGACGGGACCTGCTACCACCAACGTTGTTCTGAAATAGACCAGGGCGTTGGGAATTATAATTGTATATAAAGTTAGAGAGTCCAAAACGTCTCATAATGTAATTAAACAAAAAACGTTGAGAGGCACGGCCCTTATTAGAGAACAGCTAAACAACTCTCCCCCCCCACCGAAGATTTTACTGACTTCTCAGGTGAACTCAACTATGCAAGCGCGTGGATCAAGTTCCGAGGCATTATTTCTGCATTTGTTATTTGCGTGGTTTCAAAATGTTGTACACACTTACCTCTGGATATCAGAGGCCCTGAATAAGACCTCACTCAGCATTTTTTGTTCAAAATAGCAAGAAAGCAATCGAAAGCAGAACTCTACTGGACCTTGAATTGTTAAGGAGGACATGTGGTGAGGAAGTGGGCCTGTATGTGTGAAAGGTAATATATTATGGCAGGTATAACAAAAACAATCGCGAACAAAAGGCGGATGCTGGGCGGGGGTTGGGTGTGGGAGATTAGGAACATGTTGCACAGCGGTGCGCGCGAATGATGGCGCGCTGGGACTTGTTCCTGCCAATGTTGGTTCATGACATAAATCATAACCGACGACTTTAGCGCACGATTCGGAGCGTCCCCCGAGATTCCATATACTGAATGCCGCAAGACCTCACTCTGCGAAACAGACGGTAAAGGTCCCGATCGTACAGGCACCAATCATTGTAGTGTCAAATTGATTATGGCTTCGGTCAATTCATCGAGTCGTCAGTCCTCCTAAAGCCTGATTTTTCTGGCTCAGTTGATTCAGAGACCTAAATAAGTCAGAAATTACTTACAGAAAAAAAAAAAACAAACAAGCTGCTGCATCAACCAAAATTCGGCAGAGATGGTCCTGCAGGCACGGGTCACAACCTACCCACAGCCCTGCTCGGACTCGTCTGTGAAAATTGAGGAGCGAGAGGACTCCCATCCTCTTCCTAGAAAAATAACAACAACAGCATGCCATTTTACTACGATATGATTACGCCGATAAATGATAGACAATTGGAAATTTTGAAATCCGTTCCCTCTGAAAGAGTATATAGGTCCGTGGCAGAAGCCAAGGTACTCACGGAGGAGGGATAAACCGTGACAGTGTGAGCCAAGAATCGTCTCAGATACCGACTCAAACACGACTAAGGTGGATTTACACATCACCGTCTCTCGGGCTATTGCCAGACAGCTCCACAGTTTCTCATGGGATGCGCATGAATTGGAATGGCTTTAAACGACGGAACGAAAGTCAACTACCTTCTCTATATGAGAGCGGAGTGGATCGAAAGAGCTGCAACCAATTGCCATACAATTTCCTCGCCAAACAGTCGATCCAGAAAGAAACGGAACAGTCGCTTCCTGGCTTCAGAGGCCTGACGCCTATTGAACTTCCATATGCTCCAGTGAGCAAGCCATGCGACGGTTTCTCGTCCTGGTTGGCAATCTCTCCGTGAAGTGCATCCACTCCACTCTCTGGACAGTTCCATGGTGGATCGATATCAAGATACTCGGTCTTCTCGAGTCGCTTGGCTTCCCAACAATGTGAGCATACCTGGGATGTGTTGAACTCGTTCACCGAGCACACCTGGGATGTGTTGAACTCGTTCACCGAGCACACATGGATCTTGGAGACGGATCGGTCTGGTGGTCGTCTCTGGTGGTGTATGAACTGCTCAAAATACCGAGCGAACCTGAGTCTCCTGGGACTGGATGCATATCCCTTCCCCTGTTTCCACGAGGCATCGTCATGTTTCCAATATTGTGGACCCTGACCAAACTCACGCCAAGTTCCTCCAGTAGCTCTGTTCTAACAGAGCCTTGTTTCCGGTGGCCACAGTTACCCGCCGAACACCGTCGACATTCATCATTGGTTTTTGGGATTCGAGAGTTGGGGTGGTTGATCTCTCGATGATAATGCATTTACGCAGCATTGTTCCCCAGTAATGCACCTCTCTTGCCGCACTATTTATGTAAGAATGCAGTTGGAAGTATTTCCTTGTGTATTCATCACCTTTTCTGACGCAGAGTCGAATATTTGAATTTCGCCGCCAGTTCCGAACTTCCAACAGAGGTCCTGAGGGATACACATCTCCTACGAATGGTCAGTCGATTTCTCACGTTCCAGAATGATGTCTGAAGCCTTCGACGGATGTGGCGTTTGAGCGGAGGATCTACCCTCACTTAGTCGCTTGTGACGTCTGAATAGCTCATGTGTTACAAAAAGTGCTCCACATTGATTTCCAAGGCAGTGCAGGGAAAGCCGATTTCGAACTTTGACAATACATCCGGATGGACAATGCCCATCGAGCCGATCACGTTGCCGTTGTAGTACACGTCGGCTCTTCGTCCTGGAAAGTAGGTGGGATCTAATTTGCATGTTGTGTCAGCGCTGGCTTGCTATTCCTTCCTATGCTCGCTCTCTCCATTCCGTCATATACTCACTCTCGCTTTCGGCAATGTAATATCCTGCGTCCTCGCCGATACGGCCGAGGGGGAACAGCCAACATGGCCATCAAACGATCCAGGACACCATGGATTATCTGGACAGGAGAGCGTTAGACCAAAAAACCCTCTCATGCAGGACATTTTCACCGAGGAGGCATGAATTCCGAATACGCTATCCAGCTCATTGATACCGCTCTATATCTCCCTCCTTTGTCCCCCGATTCATCCATTGGGCTCAGAGACGATATGGCTCA